CCCCAAAACCCCAAAACCCCAAAACCCCAAAACCCCTATTATAAAATTTTATATTGACAAGATAAAATTAATGGACAGCCATTCTGACAACGAACAGGTGCAGACAAGTCTTGTACAAAAAGTGACTCATCAGAATAATGAATTAAAGGAACATAGCGAGCAACCGCAGGATCATCAAGAAGTAGCAAAAAGTGAAGATATAGAAGATAAATCTGTGCAAAGGGAACAGCAAGAACAGCGGGAAGAGGAGAAAAGTGAGCATAAGCCTGAGAATCCTTTGGATGACAATGATAGCGAGGATGTGTCGCCTAAGAAAGTTGTCAAGATTCCCAAGAATAATGCACCTGTGAAGAAAGAAATTTCTCCAAAAGAATTTTCTCTTACAAAGAACTTCCGAATGAAAAATATCTATAATAGCTCTAATCATAGTCCGAATTCAAGATATAGAAAAATGAAGAGTATGGATAAAACAAGCAAAAAATTCAGATCTAGCCTTGTTTCTTCGATAGGGAAGATGTCTGCTACCAGTAGTCAAGGATTCAGATCCAACTATAACACAAGACAGAACAAAAGAAGAAATCTTCCAGATGGAAACAGAAGTTTAATGACTTTACAAAGAGCTGGGCCAGGCTCTTATGATCTTCCTCCTTTATTGGGAGGATTCATTCTTCAAAATAACAAGAGGAATAATCCAAGATATACTATTGGGAAAGCATCAAAGTATGAGATCCAGAGTATGACTAAAGAACAATTAATAAGAAATCCAGGAGCTGAATCCCCTGGTGTTGGGTCTTATAGCCCAGATCATGCCAAGGTTAGGTGTGATTCTCCAAGAGCAAAGATTGGGAGAGAAAGAAGGTTCATCCAACTAAAGTCCACAAATACTCTTAAAAAGAAAGTCCCACATGCCTATTTGAGTCAAGATATGCAAGGACTAGGGTACAGAAAGAATGGTAGAGGGTTCACAAAAGAGAAACGCTTTATATTAGTAGCTATGAAATCAAGAGATAGCAAGATGAACCCTGCTCCTTCACATTACAATCATCATTTACACAACACGATTTCTTCAACTTTTGGAAATTACAAAGATAATAACAGGAATGCAACCACAAAAATCTCTCAAGAGGACAAATATCACAACAGGACTTATTTCAAAGAGCTTGAAAGATGTTATGGGAATGACACTTCTCCTGGCCCAGCAGCTTATGATAGCCATAAAGTGACTACAAGCCTCAGTAATATGAGGAGGGCTCACCACAACTCGTTTACAAAGGTAAAATCCTCTTTTCTCAATATTCAGAGTTTATTTACTGACCATGTTATAGTCTGGAAGAAATATGATGCCAAGAAGAAAGGGGGATACAAATGAGCCAAGCCCAGCTACTTATAGAGCACATCTTATCAAAAATAGTATCAAAGGTGGCAGCTTTGGGACTTCAAGAAAAGGTATTGACTTTACTCAACTCCATGCCCAACATAGGGGCTTAATCCAGAAAGGGCTTGTCTAAAGTTGTAAATGGCTTATTTCAACATGAGTCTTGACTCAAGGGGTTTTGGGGTTTTGGGGTTTTGGGGTTTTGGGG